AAAGAACATCCACAGGACGCCTCTCTCGCTCGTTGAGACCCCAAAGGTGCTAGCATAGACTTACTCGCGTCAGGGCTCCTCAAGTTTCTCATTCACTCCAACCAACAGTGGTTATGACTGATGTTCCCATGTTCCTACTGGCCTAGGAAGCATATTCAAAAGCTCCAATGAAGGCAACAGGAGAAACGTAAATCCCAGTTCAGTGTCGCATTCTGAAATAGATTTTTCATTCTTCTGATGGTAGATTGTTAGTGCCATCGCATATGCGTGTATTCAGACTCCCATGAGGAATTGAAGTTACTGTATCGGTCAGCCGGTCCTGGCGCACCGTCTCCTAGAGTGCACTTTCAGGCATTCATTGCAGCTGCCACAAAAACGACAAATTACGATGTCGGCGCCGTGCCTATTAATCAATGGATTTTTACTGGAAAGCAAAAACGATTTACTGCATTTCGGCTTAGCTTAGCTTCCATTCCCAAGTAATTAAAAAATGACAAAACTGTGAAGGCTTGTCCACCTTTCCCCGGCTTAGTTCCTGGCTCACGTGTAAACACTGCTCCTTCTACCGATAAATCTAAGAATAAGCTGAAGACGGTATCCTTCCGGCTACTGAATGCCTTAGATCATCAGTGGGACAAACCGCTTATCCTATAGGAATAGCATGGTGACAGAATGTCTGTCAAAACGCCGAAGATAGTGCGAAAACTTCTAAATTAGCTACATCTCGATGCCTTTACACCGTCCGTCTATAACTGTCCCACTAGTACTGCCTTCTAACCCATAGCTGGTTCCTCCACCGCCCAGGTAATTTTTCCGCTGCCACTTACTGCATACGATGATGACTAGGGTGAGGGGCATTACGCGCCATTTAGTCGTTAATTTAGCTGATTTCGCTCTCGTTCTTGAACCTCTGATATTTTTCGGAACTTGAGCGCCACAGTCCGAATCCTGTTCTTTATCCCCAACCTATCAAATGCCCCCACAGCTACACGTCTGTGAGTCTCAAATTCGTTGCTCCTTCTCGCAGACTCTCCTCCTCGTTAATGTTCCTAACCAAATTCAGTGTTTCTTAACTCATTCTATCTTACCTTCCCATAGGTCGTCAGCGCGAGTGATTACTCCATTTGACAAATGCAGCAGACGATAGCTTCTTGTGGAATATTTCCAAAGGCAGGATCGGAAGTTGAATAGTCTAACAAATCAGCTTCGGCAGGATAAGCCCCGATTTCAACAAAAACACTCAGTGCCTCACTGGCAAGGCCAAGCGGACCCCTCGGACCTAAAACCGCGTAAGAAAGCGGTTGTCAGAGGTCGATTGTACTCGACGGTAAAAGCCGATGCTTAGGTGCTGGTAAATTAAAATGGTTTTTGGCATAACCCTGAGGCGTAGAGTTAGCGTGCCTTGTGGATTGATATGACAGCTAAACGAATCGAAAGAGTTTACAGTGAATACGCCCTTGCATGGAAGTATTATGATGCCATAAGAGGTCACGAAGGCCAAGTGTCCATTGTGTGTTTAATTGTGAGCGTAAGCGAACAACAGACTAGGTCAGCGAACATCCGTCCGCCTAGGCAGAATTGGGAAGATCGAAGGGCATCTAGATTAATTATAGGAGGCCAAGGGGGACAGTGATAACAAGTATGGAAATAGTAACAGCCGTGATCGTTATTTAGGGGAAAGCACGCAACAGGTTGGCAATCAATAAAAACACCTTGAGCGCTTGGCAGTCGCCGCATGGTGGCCATTCATGAGACTTACACCTGATAAAGCGACAGTAACAAACTCTCAGGTTGTTCAATTGTACCGAGCTGCGGCATGTACTTGAATTCAACATCCGTGGTTTGCCGGCGGATTAGCGCCAGCCGCCTAAGCCGAACGCAAACAGGGAGATACGAGACGCGAACGCTGGGTCCGATATGGTATTGAAGTTCTGGATTGTGGAATTGGTAGGAAGAGGAGTAACCAGTAAGGCCAAGATATGTCTGTACCCGAAACGAATAAGTTGTCTAAAATTGAAAAGCTCAAAAATCTAAAGGACAAACTTTATGAGACAAGTGGTAGCCTAAGATAGAGTGCACGCTGTAATCCTGGTGACTAGATACCAAGTTAGCTGGTAGATTGTCAAAAATTCGGTCTTACATTATGCACGTTGAGTCCCCAGTGCCAAAGAATATTTACAGAACTGGCAACCGCATGTATTGCTAATGCAAACGATTTCAACGATTCTCCCTTTATTCTCGTCAGTGCCGTGGGTTACTTACTGATTAACAGCATTCCGCACCTCCAGTTTTAGCAAGTTTAAGATCTGCAGCAATCATTTGCTCAACATGGTAACCCGGGCTCTCATTTCTTGAGCCAGCTCTGCCACAAACCCGTAAATTCGAATAGTACTAGTCGGTAATTATTTTTTTTCGGGACAGTGAAGAACAACAATGACAACATAGTATAAACACTTCGAGCGCCTCGACAGCATTTTATGGCCGGGTCACATTTTACTCGGGTACGAAAATGTGGGTGGTTTTTTCGCCTCCACAGCACCCCTGATTTCAATTTAAAAAAGTGAATGTGACGGATTATTTCAGCCATCAAGAAACGGAAGCGATGAGGACAGTTAATACAAAATATATACGATTTTTAGAAAATTAAAAGACATTTCAAATCAAGGACCAGAGAAAAAGCACACATGAAGGATTTATTCCTAAGTGCAATGCAAGACTATAATTACTGATCCTTGTTGGATTTGATATTCATTCAAATACTTCCTATCCTCAAGAGGTTTCCCTTTAAAAAGTAAACGCATGTCCTCTGTAGGAATCCCTTCTTCTGTCTCGATTGCTTTTTTCAAATCTCCAGCAGTTGCTGACTGGTTAATTTCGATCTCTTCATAGTATCCGGCCAAGGATTTGACGACCACGGAAAAGCTGTGCGTCTTATCTACATCCTTAGATGGTACATGAAGAACAACATCGAGCGTACATCGATCAATCAGTCCGCATGCAGCCAAAGTTTGGTCTCCGTTCAATAGCACATCCTGAAAGATGAGCTCATAACTTTGTAGCGGTAAACCATGCAGACGCTGTAACTGCCTTTTTAAACTATGAACTGTGTCCTTGTGAGTGGACTTGAGGTTCGCTAACGTTCCAGATGGAAGTCTAATGTCTATACTAAGATTCACTGGGAGCTCCATTGGAAGGCTGAGGGGCACGACTGAGCCATCACATATGCCATATGCTTCAATTTTGTACGATTCCTCAAGGACAAGTCCGTTAAAGGTCAGCATTTGTTTATCACACGGGATCTGTCTCTTCTGTCTGATCGCCTCCTTTAAATCAGAAACGTAAGCATCGTGTTGAATTTTCAAGTAGAAATCACCGATCTGCTTGCATGTTATACGCAAGAAAATCAGCATCGCCCGCCAGGAAACAAGTCCGTCAATTTTCAAAAAATTATCGCAACTATTGCCCTTGGGCTGATTGGTTCGCGCAAGGTTGATGAGTCACCGTGATGCAGCCCAACAATAGTGATCAAAATCAGCTGTGGGCCCGACTAAGTTGATAAACGCTAAAATACTCCTCTATTTCACCCAAAGAATATTTAAACTGATATTTACTTAAAATATGAACCAACATACAGTAGCAAGTACTCCAAGACTTCAACTATCGCGGCCGGAAGGTAAGTAGCAGTCATTCCAGTCCATTTCAAATCATTTTATTTGAGGGAAATTAAACTCTCCATTAATTTCTTGAACGGATGTGAACACTTATAAATGTGAGAGAGTTGGCTGAATCTATACAGACAGCCGAAAGGTCTGTGGTGTTAGAGGCACAAAACAGATAACTATACAATTTCTATATGTGGTACAGTAGTTGGTTTTGTTACAAGGATGCTGCAAAGAACTACATGCATTCGTGTTTGCCTGTGATTGCAAAGGCGAGTGGTAGTAAGGTGCTTTAAGAACGGCTATGCAGGGAACCGCAGCATACTGAGCTGAACTAGTCTCTTAGCGACTTATAGCTACCCATAGACAGGCTCTGCCCGGCTGTTACTAATACACAATCGATGCTGGAAGTCTCAGCCTGACCTATCACCTACATTTCTGTAGTTTATCCTGACGTCTCCCTGATAGCAAGTAGTGTTCGAATCGAATTCGATTCGTATTCGACAACTCTACAATGTAGGGTTCGATTCTTGTCCTACTTGTCGTTTATGTAGTGTACGAATCGAGATCGACAATCACTCTACAATGTAGAGTCTACATTTTTAGCCGAACAGGGGGTACCTCCTTCATCGTGAAAACCCCCTTTTTCGAAACGCAGTAGCAGAGTACTTTTTTGAAGACGTTTAAGGTAAACAAAATATAATGATCTGAAGTAGTCGAAAAAAAATATAACGCGGTAATAGTAGTCGGCGCTAAAAAGATAGGGCGGTAAAATAACCAAAAAAAGTAAGGGGATAATAATAAGCGGGCGTACAAAAATATATGACTCTAGAAAAAGTAAAAAAGAGGGAATGTTCGGCGCTCTAAGCGGGACTCCGAACGTTCACTTGGGAGGGGTTAGGGTCATCGCCATCGCCTGGATTGTCATCTGCAAGACAGGAAATACAAAACTAATTTACCGAATGCATATAAGTGGTGATGGCAAGAGTGAGAGCATGGGGTACCGCATTTTAAAGTAGGCGTTCAAGTGAACTTACCATGTTGGCGGTGGCGCTTGGGCTCGATGTACCTGTTTCGCATCAGACGATCATAAGCCCTCTTGAAGGCTTTGTTAAATGCCTTTTTAACTTCTCCCCGGTCCACCTGGTGTGAATTACACCACCAAAGGCCAGCCTTTACATTCAAGAATGTCATACTGGATTATATTATGGCCTACCATAGACGACAGCGTATATGGAAGAGTCCGTAAACCACCTATTGGGATTGTCATCCCCCGTACCGCAAAATATTACATGTGCGGTAATTTGGTCATCAAAGAGAGTTTTAAAAATTCTGTCGGCGAAAGTGTTAATTGTACTTCCGCCGATCTGCTCCAAGTGGGCAATCTGAGAAGGGCCGTTATTCATAATTTGTAACTTACTAATTGGCGGCGTGCTACCTCGTTTGCCAGGCGTGACTGCAAGTCCTCATACTGGTCGAGGGTACGAACAATTGTGACTAGCATGGGTTCAGCCGGCGGCAGGGCCTCACGGGCACTGACGGAAGTGAGTTGAGACTCCCGAATTGCCCGTATTTACGCGAAAAGATGGCGCCAGTTATCTGTGTATGTTTCCGTGTAAGTTTCGAGGAAACTCCGGAAAAATCGAAAACACCGTCTGCTGGTGGAACGACTGAGTTTTTGTCCTCGCCGTCGTTTCTTCGGCCGATTCTGGCTTTTGCCTAGAAAGGAAGTCGTGTTCGCGTGAGTTCTTACCAGCTGGGGTGGACGGTGAACTGGATCGTACTATGGGCAGAGTAATTCCACCGGAGGAACTGTCCGCAGAGTACTCCTGAAGGAGTTTAAATTAACGCAAATGAAATGCTTACCGGCTATGAAGAGGAAGGTAAATCCCCTCGAAAGTAATCAACAAGGTTTTGCGGCGCTTTTCGCTGCCTCTTAGACCGCCAAATCTCCCGGCTGTCATCAGACATCTTAAGTCTAAAAAGAAGAGGTCGCATTTAGCGCCTATTCAACAGCAGGTTACTGATAAAACAGATACCAGCCACGTTAAGAGTCATTTCCAGCGGAACTGGAGGGTGTATTTAACAGTTTATTAACATTATGAGATACAGTAAACATGTAAGCAAAATAAAAAAAACATTTAGAAGAAAAAATGTTTGGACAAGCAAACCTACCTACCAGCCAAAATCACATTACCCCGGACGATCCACCACGTTCTTACGTTCGTTAATCTCAATGAGGACGTATTGATCCTTCACTGGGAACGAAGTGTATTTGCGCACATTTGACGGTAAGGGACACCAGTTCGACGTTTTTCCTATCTGGGCTTGCAAAAATTAAAAATTCGATGAATTTTGAGGATAACTGCAGTAGTCCTCAATCTGCTTGTAAGCAAAATAAACCACATGAATATCACCAGAGGATGAGCGCACGATGTTC